ACAAGGAAGGGCCTGATTTGGTTTATGGTTTGACATTAATTTTGGCCAATTATACATTATTTCATTGAAGAGATAATGGGGGGGGGATTAGGGAGATGGACATTTCGTCCATAATGTAGGAAGAGGAGGGGAAGTGTATTATTTGATTACTTACAGGTTTAAGAATAACAAAAGAAAAGGTTTTTGGTTTGTCTTCTTCTTATTTTCAGTCAAGGGACTTAAAATAAGTGGAGGAAGACTTTATTTGAAAGGGAATAAAAGACAAGGCAGTTTGGATATTTAGGGATGGTTTGGGGTTTAGATGGCTCGGCCTAAGTGGGATGTAGGACAACAATGGTGTTGGTTTGGGCTTCATGATAGGAAAAAGGAATGAATTCAACCCAATTAAAGTCACCACACTTTGGCTTCATTCTCCTGATTTGTTTTTCCTTTTGTGGACTAAGGAAAGTCTTCGTTGACGCTCCCGAATATCTAACATTATTGCTTTTACCATTGGTACGCCACTAAAGGTTGACATGCATACTTTAAATTTCACTGAGGCCTGAACATGCACGATGTTGTGTGGAGGTTGATATCTCCAACCTTCCGCCCCCTAAGATTCTCATTAACCATGATGGTGAAGAGCTCATCTTTCCTTTTATATTATGAACGTGTCCCATCCTTCTGTAATCATTGTAAAAAGGTTGGCCATAATCATGATTCATGCCCACGCTGGAAACCCTTGGAGGGTTTGGATGGCCAGAATATGGATAGGGAGAAGCATGGGTCCAAAACTTGTCTTTTGGAGGAGCGGGATACTGGATGGCAGGTTGTTCAACCCAAGAAAGGAAAGGCTAAGAGCAATACTACATGGACTTGGAGGGTCAAGGAATCAGGCAATAAGGGACCATGGTTAGAAGGGCCAGGGGAATGTTCTAAAGCAACTGAGAGTATGAAGGATATGGTTCCTGTCACTGAACCTCAATCCAGCTGCGGTCCTGAGCCAACCCACACATCTGAGAGTGAGGATGTTCAATCATACTCTATAACAGATCCAGCTATTCTTTCAGCTTTTACTTTGCAGCATCTTTTTGATCACTCAATTTAGATTTCCTATCAAGAAGATTTTCCAGTTGATGACAGCATGGCTATTGTCCCCTTTGAACAAAACCCTATTGCTGTTGAATTTCCTGCAGAGGTTTTTGAGGTTGAGGATGTTGTTGAAGTTTTGACCCTTTCCAAAAAAGGCCAGAGATTGAAGAAGTATGTTCCTCCATCTCCTGAGAATCCTGGACGTAGGCATAATATGGTTACAAGGCATATGGCCTCAAACAGATTCTCTATCCTGGCATCCAAATGATTGGTCTCTTTTGGAATATTCGTGGTGTACATTCTTCCATCTCTCGCCTTATTTCTCTTCACAAAAAATATCACTTCTATTTTATTTCCATTTTGGAACCTTTGGTTGATGATGCACACCTTGATTGGTATAAAATGAAGATGGGATTTCCTAAAGTCTTTAAGGCTCTTGACAATAAGTTATGGTTTCTTTGGGAGGACAATAAGCTCTCCTTGCATACTCTTATTGAGGAAAATCAGATAATCACATGTGGCTTTAAAGTGGTAGAGGATGGTTCTCTAATCTGGGTTTCTAGTATATATGGCAGACATACTAGACTTGAGAGGAGGGAACTTTGGGATTCTATAAGATCTCTTTTTCCTAGATCAGATCCTTGGATTCTTGGTGGGGATTTTAATACAGTTGCTAGCATATCTGAGCATAAAGGCCCTATTGGTCCAGACATGGGAAGCATTGAGGATTTCACCCAAACCATTAGTGATTGTGAGTTGGTCTCTCCACCTTTTTTGGGGAGCTCTTTCACTTGGTTTGGGAAGAGGGATAGGGGAAATGTGTGAAGAAGGTTGGATCATTTCCAGAAGGTTTTTGAAAGAAGTTATGTGGGGGACATGGAGGATATTTTAAGTCAAATACAGCCTGCTTTGACTGATCAGGACAATGTATTTATGGGTTCTATTCCAGAGGAGGAGGAAATCAGGAAAACAGTTTGGAGTTTAAATCCTAATAGTTTAGCTGGTAATGATGGGTTTAATGGTTTCTTCTATAGGCATTGCTAGGATACCATCAAACTTGATGTTTGTAAGGCTGTCCAGGAATTCTTTGTTGGGGTCAAGCTGCCAAGAGTCTTTGGCAGTACTTTAATTACTCTTATCCCTAAAAATGAGTCCGCCATCACCCTGGATCAGTTTAGACCCATTTCTCTGTCCACTTCCTTTAGCAAGATTACAACCAGAATATTGAGTGACAGACTCAAAAAACTATTGCCCAAGCTTATCTCTCCAGAGCAGGCTGCTTTCTAGCAGGGCAAAAGCATAACTGCGCATGTTCTCATGGCTAAGGAAAGGTGAGAGGAGGGAATTGTATACTGAAGCTGGATTTTTCTAAAGCTTTTGATAAACTCTCATGGCATTTTCTGGAAGGAATTCTGACTAAATTTGGTTTTAATCAAAGTGTGGTTCAGCTTTTGATGGGAAACCTTAAATCAACCTTCTTTTCTGTGCTTATTAATGGGCAGCCAAAGGGTTTCTTTCCTATGAAGTGTGGGGTTAAGCAAGGTGATCCTTTATTTCCCTTACTTTTCATTCTAGCCTTGGAGGGTCTTACCAGATTCTTGAATTATCAGCACTCAATTGGCGGGATCTCCTCCTTTTCCTCTGGCAGAACCCCAACCCCTAGCCATCTTCTTTATGCAGATGACATTATTATTTTTACAAAGGCAGATTGCAGAAACTTATTGAGAGTGAAGACAATCTTATCATCCTTTATGGAAGCTTCAGGGCAAGCTATAAATCTAAACAAAAGTCAAGCCATTGTGCATGACAAGATGAGGCTTGAGCAGAAAAGGGCAATTACCAGAATTCTAGGCATTAAGTGTCATACAAAGGAGTTTACTTATTTGGGCTCTACTATTGTCAGAGGTAAGCTCAGGAAGATACATTGCAAGGAGTTGGTGGAGAAGTTTGAAAAGAGGATAACATCATGGTACAGTAGAAAGCTAAACCAGATGGGGAGGCTTATACTTATCAAACATGTGCTTTCTTCTATACCTTTACATTTAGTGGCTGCGCAAACTCTCCCAAAATCTATCATCAAATGTCTCAATGGCTTGATGGCTAATTTCTTTTGGGGAGCTAAGGATGATGGCCACAAATACCATTGGAGGCGATGGACTAGGCTCTGTTTGCCTTTTGAAGAAGGGGGCCTGGGTTTGAGGGATTTAAATCTTTGTCAAACAGCTGCCTCTATTGATTTATGGTGGAAGGTCCATAAGGGGGTTTCAATCTGGAGTTCAGTATATGCGGGCCAAGTACTTTAGGGATGGTGATTACACATATCAAGCATATGATTCCTATACATGGAAAGCCATCTGCAGGGTTTTACACTTAGTTGCTCCTCACTGCCATTTTAACAATAGGGTACTGCAATGGAGGACTGGAACCTATAGTTTCAAAGTGGCTTATTCTTTAACCTATAATCATCACCCAAAGCAACTGTCATGTGTTTACTTATGGGATAAGAGGCAGATTGGAAAAGTTGGCATCTTTCTTTGGAGGTGCTTGAACAGGATTCTCCCTCTCCCCATGAATCTTAGCCGGATGAATGCGCATACATCAGCTCTTTGTCCTTTTTGTATGGCAGACGATATGGATGAGGATCATCTTTTCATCAACTGCAGAGAGGTGGTGGAGCTCTGGAGGTTATATGCAGTGGCGTCGGAAGCACCTGTCATTGGCAGCTCTTGGACAGTTACTCAATCTTTGCTAGGTTGGTGGTTGTCCTCTAACCGATCAATGTTTAAGGGTAATATCAGATTTATTTTGCCGGGAATCATCATTTGGTCAATTTGGAAGAGATACAACTCAATCCTTTATTCTCAAGGCATTTGGGAACGGGACGAGGTTATGATATCTATAAACAAGCTTTTGCAAACATGGTGTTGGGCGAACAAAATTGATACTACATTATTATATAAGTCTCCTATTTTTAGCTTTGGAATTTTTACTTTCTCTAGTACTAGGTGTCAGCCTGTTGGCACTTAGGCACATTTTTATTTGAATAAAATTTTTATTTGGAAATATATATATATATATATATATATATATATATATATATATAGGGGGCGGTTCAGGTGAGAATGCACCTTGGTGAAAGAAATAAGAATAAAATCTAGCCTTTGGATCTGATGCATCATGCGGCTCAGATTGCATCCTGCACTCAGATTTTGAGATAGTGCATTTTTAAAGGATTTTGGTGCATTTCGACATGATGCATTTTCAAATCATTTTGGTGCACCTAATTTTGATGCAATCTTGACCCTTAGATCTCACAATCTATCGCACCAGATTCATTCTTATTTCTTTCATAAGATTGCATTCTCACATGATCCAAAATCTATATATATATATATATATATATATATATATATATATATATATATATATATATATATATATATAAATGAAAATTTTATTTCAAAAAGGTAAAAGAAAGGTACAGGGAGGGGAGGACTAGGCCAATGCCCCTCTAGAAATGCACGAAAAAGAAAACTGAATGAGAAATGAAACGAGAGATAAACAGATGGTCATTCCCAAATTATAAAACCCGGGTGCTGATCCAAGCGAGGTTTCTGGGCATTATTTTCTTTGGCCTTTTCCCATCTGCCCCAATTGGGCCGACGGGTCCAACGTACCAAAAGGGCCCAGAGTAACTTTCGGTAGTGACGATTTTCTCCATTGTAGTTGATTTGCGGCTAGGCCAATATCTAGTGATCTCGCTCACCGTTCCAACTTCAAGGTTTGGATCGTAGCTTCTGGTTTTAATCGTCCTTGGTGCAGTTCCCCTTTTCCCCGCTTTTTTGCTGCGTCTGCTCTGGACATCTTGGAAGTTAGGCTCCTCCCTTTGATTACTTGTCTCCGCTTCTTCAACGTAGGACCTGATTTCATAATGTTCACCATCCACCTCAAAAGACTGAAGAATTGGTCCAATAGTAGTTGAGTCATAACCTGCATAGTTAGTTATAGATGGGGGAAAATTTGTGGTATGTGTAGGATCAGAAATCTTTTCATCATCTCCATTCATTGAAGGGGATAGTGTGCCATCCATCTCTTTCTCGAGGGAAAGAGTGTGTGCATCACTACCTTGATTTTGGGCTGGAAAATCATCCGTCGTAGCAATTACAGACTCTTTAGAGAGAGGCGGGAATTCTTCTTCATACTGTGTGCCTTCCAAATCTGTCTTAGGGGACAGTTTGTGTGCTTCACAGCTTTGTTCAGTCCTGAAATTAGGGTCGTTGTTAGGAGGATTTTTGTTGTTCTGAAAAGCATCCTCAATAACCTGGAGTTGTTCCATCTCAACCAACACACCTTTGTTTTCAGCACTGTCAGTTGGCGCGGGAGCCTCAGCATCCCTATCATTATCAATGGTGGTTGCCAAAGCTTCAACACTTGCCTTATGTGTAACTGTATCTATAGCAGATTGTTCCTCGTTTTCAAATTCAGTGGTTTCAGCTGCAGGAACTAATATCTGTTCCAACCCATTGGCATCAGATTTTGGGACAGATTGTACCAAGTGTGTTTCAACCTGGACAGATTGTTCCAAGTGTGTTTCAACCTGGACAGATTGTACCAAGTGTGTTTCGGCCTGGGCAGAGGAGCAAGTTTCCATAACAGTGGTCTCCTCCTCTTTTGGACCATCATGATTCAGAGCATCATCTTGCTTATCCACCAGCTGCAAATTAGCTTGGAGCAACAACGGAGGGACGGCTACAGCAGGTGCTATATTCCCAGTCCTGTTGTGTCCTTCACCACCCATCTAGAGGTTGTGGCCTTTTTGCAATTTTTATGTCCAAAAGATTTACAGGAGGGGCAATATTCAGGAAGATCTTCATAAATGATTGGTTGATGAAATGTAAGTTGGCCAAGATGGATCCAGACACCATTGGGCAGGTCTTTGCTGGTATCAACCTCGACATAAATACGAGCAACAGATGGCCTTGACAGGCTTGCTGTTGCAGCATCTGTTTTCAGAGGTTTACCAATCAAATTGGCAATGGAATACAAAGCCAGAGAGTCAAAGAGATGAATTGGAAGACCTTCAAGACTAATCCAAACCGGAATTAGAGGGGAATCAATGGCAGGGTCAAAATCATGAGTCCAGCGAAACACTTTCAAAACAAAACCATTAATCTTCCAGTATTTTCGCAGCAAGCATCTCNTACGAGCAACAGATGGCCTTGACAGGCTTGCTGTTGCAGCATCTGTTTTCAGAGGTTTACCAATCAAATTGGCAATGGAATACAAAGCCAGAGAGTCAAAGAGATGAATTGGAAGACCTTCAAGACTAATCCAAACCGGAATTAGAGGGGAATCAATGGCAGGGTCAAAATCATGAGTCCAGCGAAACACTTTCAAAACAAAACCATTAATCTTCCAGTATTTTCGCAGCAAGCATCTCAAAAAATCGTTCTCAGATTCGAAATTGATTAAGATATGAGTTTCATCAAGCAAACTTACAGTAAAATTCTTTTCAAAAGCGATTCGCTCAAAGGCCTTACGGATTGAAATTAGGCAAGGTCTGCCCTTGGTGAAACGTCCCACAATTGTGCGAACAAACCTAGCAGACAAATTGTTGATGTCCTCATCTGAGAAGGAGACGGCCGGTTGCCCTTTGAATTTTGTCGCTGGTTTGAAGTCACCTTTGAGAGCTATGTCGTAGAAGCTGCGGTTCTTGGGAGGTTGAGGGAGAGTGCTGGTCATGTATGGAAGATGGTCGCCGGACCGCCATAGCGGCGGTCGGCGTAACCCTAGCCGTGGAGAGATCTAGAGAGAGAGCATTATATATATAATTTTATATATATATATATATATATATATATATATATATATATATATATATATATATATATATATATATGAGAGGAGGTTTGGTACCCCTAAATAAAATGTACCTTTTCCTTCCAATTTATTAGTACTTTATGCTTTGGCATTTGTATACTTACTTATTATGCCATATTTGTCATGTCTCCCGTTAACATCTGCTAATAGGGCAAGGTTCCATGACATCGCCCGACAATGTCATGGGATGACCCGGGGGCGCTTTGTTGTCCCGTTCGTAAAATTGACAATTCCTTTAGGTTGTATGAAACGGTCAATTTTACGAACGGGTCACCAGAACGCCCCCGGATAAGGGTGTTCAAAAATATCTGATCCAAAAAATCCGCCCATGATCTGGGCCGATCCGATCCGAAAAACGGATATTATTCGATCTAATATTTTAGCTTTCGGATATTTCAGATCGGTTACCCGTTTTTTTTGCTATATGTTTTTGAAATTTTATGGATATATTTATGACTATATGTAGGAGTGTGCACCGGTCTAAAACCGGACCCGAACTGGAATTGCAATTTCTTTAAGATCGAAGACCAGACATGTTTATTTCCGGTCCGGACTGGTCCGGACCTGTTTTTATCGGACCGGTCCGGTTTTACCCTACTTTAGATCGGAATTTTTTATATATTTTTTTTCAATCTTAGAAATGAATTAAATTATTAAACAAATTTAGAAAAAAATTGAAATAATAAGTTGTCTTTCTTCAAAGTATTTAATAAAAATAGTACTTATAAGTAGTAGCAACAAATTCATCAAAACTTATTTTATAACTTAATCAAATTTATAAACTACCGTAAAAATAGTAATCTAAAATAAAATATTTAAAAACTAAATATTGGAAAAATGAAATTCAAGAATCTAAAACTATATGGATTGGATTTAATGCTTTTGGACTTGAAAGTAATAATGGATACAGTTTATATAATATATTACGGTCTGGACCGGAATACTTTGGGTCAAACCCGGACCGGATTGGAAACCCGGAATCCCTAATTTGTAAAACCCGAGGACCGGACCTGAATCTTCCGAACCAGTCCATTCCGGTCCGGTTCAGGTCCAAAATCTGGTCCAGACTTGTTTTTGAACACCCCTAACTATATGTTTAAATGTAATTTTATGTTGATTTTGGAACTCAACCATTTTTTACTTTTTTGCATTAGCATTTTAGAATCTTTTTGTTTTAATAGTTTTTTTTGTTGTTTGCTTAGTCAAAATTACCAAAGTTACTCCCAAATTAAAGTTGGTATCATTTTTATTAGGCCATTACCTAGTAATGGAATTTTTTTAGCAAATCTATATTGAATTTGATATTTTGGGTTGTTTTTACTATTTTACCTTTTTTTTTGTAAATTTTGTCTAAAACTCAACTTTTCGGATAATCCAATGATCCGATCCGAAAAAACAGATATCTGAAATTCAGATATCCGAATATTTTCGGATCGAATATGGAATGAGTTTTACATGATCTGAAAATTTTGGATATCCGAAATTTCGAATCAGATCGGATTGGATCGATTTGATTGAACACCTCTACCCCCGGATCATTCCATGACATTTCGGGCAATGTCATGAGAACCTGAGTGTGGTTAATATCACTGCATAACTAAGGAGCGTGTATTCAATTCGGATTTTAAAAGATTTTGATAAATTGTTTAAAATATATAGATTAAATAAAATCAACGAATTATTTTAAGTCTATGCAGAGTTTGATAGATTTTGATGTATTTTTCAATGGAATTTTGTATGATTGTTTATTATCCATTATTACTTTTTTGAGTAAATTCCATAATTGGTCTTTTATAATATAGAGATTTCTATATTTAGTCTTTTATTATCAAATATTAACCCCGTAGTCCCTTTTTTAAGGGTACATTTCCACAAATGGTCCTTTTTTGCTCTTCTGTCGTGTTGGTGTTAATTTAAAAGCTAAAAGTATAATTTGACATCAACATTATGTTTAGTGACGTGTTCTGATATTGGTTAAGCGGATAACACAAATAATGACTATGGTTGTGGGACGAAAGACCACATTTGTCGACTATGGTTGTAGTAGAAAGCGACTGTAATTCACAAACGACGCAAACAGAACAGCCTTTGAAATTGTATATGACAAAAAAATATATTATCATTGTGAAATTATACTTTTAGCTTTCAAATTAACACTAACATGATAGAAGATCAAAAAAGGATTATTTATAGACATGGATAATGTACTGATCCTTTTTCCGACGCCCAAGGAGATCGAGACCGCCGACAAGGTCCCCCATTTCGTCGACACCTTCTACAACCTCGTCACAGACATTTACGAGTGGGGTTGGGGCCAATCCTTCCACTTCTCCCCCTCCATCCAGGGGAAATCCCATCGCGATCTGCTCGGAGTTGAAGGCCGGAGACCGAATCCTGGACGCCGGCTGCGGCGTGGGGGGTCCGATGCGTTCCATTGCTGCCTGTCCTGGACGCCGGTTTCCCCTCTTTCTTCAATTTCCCCTTCTTCTTCTTCCCCGTCTCCATCCCCGTCCACCGTCCCTGCCGACGAACGTATGTTTCAGTCCACCGCCGATTGCAAGTCAGTTGGCTTTTTTTTCATCATTGCACAAATCAGCCGTTTACAACCAAATCCATTGAAATCTCTAGATGTTTTCATAGATTTGTAAAATGAATTTTCTTGAGAAAAATAACCTCAATTTTTTTGGGGTTTTATTCAAATCCAAAAAAAAAAAAACAAATTTCCTCTATGAAACCTTTTTCAAAACAGGTTGAATCTGAGCCAAATTCAAATACTAATGCCAAAATACAAAGCAGCAGTCGACCAGTCGTAAGCCAAAACCTATCATTCTCCGTTTCAATAGCCTTGTGTTGGTTCTCCTGCACAGGTACATTCACATGTTCAAGAGCATGATATTATGATAATAGGATTGTTCACAAGAAAGAACTGTAGGAGCGCTATTGTTTTACAACGAGGTGTATAACCTTATTAATCAAAATAGTTTCCAGAAAACAATTTCAAAATCCATGAGCATTTAAACT